TACCCTTTTATTGGTGTGGTTCACTTTTCCAATAAACTATATTTCTCCACTTCTAGAACTGTGAGAAATCAATTTTTTTTTGCTTATTTTGGTGCATTGATTCCAAATAAAGGTGGGTTCTTGCTACACTATAGTTCAATTCTGAATTGGATTTTAAAGACAGTGGTTAGAGCAAATCCTCCCAGAGTGAGAAGTTTAAGTAGTATAATTGGTACTCTGCTTTGTATTCAGAAAGACGTAGCCCAAGACTAAAGTATACATGGATGCATAGGATATAGTGAGTAGTTTGACTATTTTCTCAGGTCCTAGCAGGAGCAATATTTGATTAGATTAAGGAGGGCATGCAAATTTCACAATGATAATGGGTATAAATTGTGGACACCTTGTGTTTCTTTCTGATATATACCTGAGTGAGTTAAATAGGAAGAGTCATGAAAGAAACAAGTAGATAGAATGGTGCAGTCATCAAATAAAAGTCAGCCTCTCTCTGGTTTCCCCCATAACTTGTGAATGAAATGATCATGGTGGTAAAGAATGAGGTGATGCACAGTTCTAACAGCGTGGGCTGTTTTTCACTGCTTCTGAATGTCTGACCTATTAGCAATCGAGACTTAATTCCAAGACTCAGATATGGTACCATTACTTGAGAAGATCAATCATCTACTTATTATAATGTTGATTACATTAGACTTTTTCTGTCCCAGAAGGAATGTAGATTTGTGCTTACTTTAATTAAAAATGTGTTCTTTCTGCTTATTTTAAAGGGAAGGAGGGAGACTGAAAGGGAGAGATATTGGTATACTATCTGCTGATTAATTACCTGAACGCCTGCAACAGCATAGGGATGCAGGTGTCCCAAGCAGTGTCTCACACTACATCAAATGCCTACCTCTATTCTTGATACATATTTCTGAATATGGACAACATAACTTAGCCAGCATCACTCTCTGCTCTGGATTGACCAGTACTGCCAACCAAGGTTTCACCAGGGTGTGATTTATGGACAATAGGTCAAATAATAGACATAATTTATGGCAAATAAAGTATAGTGTTGGAAGCATAATCATGGGTTCCATCTTTCCCTATCACATGTGGTGCCATTCAGAAGCAGAAAGCCTAATAGTATAGTGGGTTAGCCTCTTAAAGGTGTAAACTCAAACTGGGAGGTAACAATTGCAGAGATGAGGTATTATACTTCGAATGTAGTTTATAGTAAAAAAAATGACTATTATCCAAAACTACAAAGTGGAAGTAGAAATTCCTCTACTTTTTATCACTTTGAGTGAACAAATTGGAAGTATTTGATCCCATTACCTAGAATATTTATTTATTTAAAGTTTTGTTTAATTATTTGAGAGGTGGAGTTACAGAGAGGGAGAGGCAGAAGCAGAGAGAGAGAGAGAGAGGGAGAGAGAGAGAGAGAGGAGAGAGAGAGATCTTCCATCTGTTGGTTCACTCCCCAAATGGCCATAACAGCCAGTGCTGGGCCAGGCTGAAGCCAGGATCCAGGAGCTTCATCCCAGTCTCCCATGTGGGTACAGGGTCCCAAGCACTTGGGCCATGTTCTGCTGCTTTCTCAGGTGCATTATCAGGGATCTGGATCAGAAGTGGAGCAGCCAGGATTTGAACTGGTACCCATATGGGATGCTGGCACCACAGGTGGTGGCTTACCCTGCTATGTCCCAGCACCAGTCCCTTTTACCTAGAATCTTATATCTGAGAGTTTGAAGGCTCTGGAATGCAGCGAGAATGTTCTACCAGGGTAAACAGTAAACATCCTAGTAAATAAAGTTATCATTGCCTTACGGGTAATTTTGATGCTTTGTGGCAGTAGAACAACAATAAGGCAGGAAAGAAATTTCCATTTACCACATTAACAAGAGAATTTATTTGCTGTAATCATAATCAGGATGTAGGATTATTGCTGAATTATTGGGGCACAGAGATAAGTATAAGGCACTCAAGTGATTCCTGGCACTTTAGTTGAAATTTACATGTCTAGTTTTAACTATAAATAGGAAAAAACAGACATGGGTAAGGGTCTTAGAAATCTTTGGGTTGAAGCTGTAGATCATCAGATCAAGAAAGCCCTTGGGAACAGAAGAAATAATGGCTGAGGGTGAGGACAATCTAGAATAGATGACAGTAGGGGATGATAAATGTCAGTGAAGGCATCCAGATCTATCTGCCGTGGCAAAGTTGTAGCAGGTATGTCCCCAACCCTAGTCCCTGAACAGAATTCATTTGTAAAATCAGAGTGTTTTGTCTATTCCCTTGCTTTTGGGGATTACTGCTGTAAGAATTAGCGATCTTCTCTGGCAAATTGCCTTCGGCTTATTGAATTAACTCCCTTGGATTTTCCTGGGAGTTACTTGCAGGCTCCATCCTCCAGGATATTCCTTTGGCAAACACTAATTGATAAAGGGGTGAAAAGCTGATCTCCCTTTTCTTCAGCTGGGAAAGGTTCTGAAGCACATTTATATTCCAGAGCTTCCTTAGGGGATCAGCCCGAGGATAGAACTGATCTGAAGTCAAATCAGCAGATTTATCTTCATCTGTCTCCCCATCTTCCTTCTCTCACTCCTTTATAGGTTTCTCCTGAGAGTGCTCTTCATAATGCACCTGTCTTTATTTCAGTCCCTGCTTCTGGGTACATAAGTTGCTGTTTAAGTTCATTGTTTCAATGAAACAGAAAGATAATGATCAATGTAGCTTTGTGTAAATTCAGATAAATCTCCTTCTTCCAAATTCCCAAATGCTTATTGGTCTACAGGAGTTCTAGACCTTTACTAAAATATGTTTTGAGAAGGTAGGTAATTTTGGGCATAAAGGAGTAGGCAACCAGAAACAATGTCTTCTGAATCTGTGGATGTTATTCCAACACTTGCAAATAATTTTCTGCTAATCATTTTTGAGAAATCCTGGGTGAAATTTTTATAATTAAAATTAGATAATTTTCCTGTTACTAGAAATTAAATTTCAAATTTATTATTGTTCAGTAAATTACCTTATGATTATTGTAAGGCCACCACAAAACACACCAGACACCAGAGTTAAGTGAAGGTTTATTGACAGGTGGGGGAAGCCTGATGGGCCGGGTGTGGGGTGGGGAGAGGGTGAGAGAGTAAGAGAGAGGAATCAGGAGGACACGCGTGTGGGTAGCAGGTCCTGTTACCTGTTAGGGTAACAGGGTATATAGGGAAACAGGAGTAGCAAATCTCATTAGGGTGGAGGTGGAGCTGACACCTGTGGTTGGGCTCTCTGGTCACCTGGTTTGTAGCAATGGTGACAGGAGCCAGAGCCTAATACAGCGCCCAGGGCATAGATGATGCCACAGATAAAATGGCACCATTTTACTAACAATTATAACCAAACCCATCTTTACTCTTTAAGAATCTAGCTAAATTTCTCTATATTGTCTGCAAATAAAAGGCATTTTATGTTAGCTCCCACAGTGAAAATATAGTTAAAAGAAGTACACTAATACCTTAATAAATACTGAGGTTTTGAGAAACTGTTCAACCAGGAACTATACAAGGGAACTATTTGCACACCATTCTACATTACCAGAAGACAATGATTCTCCAACATCTTTGTTCAGTTCTCACATTCAGAGTACACTCACTAAGGAACTGTTTTTTCAATAATGCATATTTTAAAACTAATATATTCTACCACTTCAGTATCCGGGTTTTTAGTATTTCTGCCTTCTACTATTTTCCTTCTTTCCTCAGTTTATCTCTTGCCTGCCTCTCTCTCTGTCTCTCAAATCTTTAAAATTGGGAACAATTTTAGATTTACAGAAAACTTAAAAAGATAATACATAGTGTTCAGTTTCCTATAATGTTAGGTGTTATAAAACTATATGGATATATATATAAACTAAAAAATTAACAATGATAATTTATAATTAAGTAAATGACTTTATTTGGATTTCACCAGGTTTTACACTGCTATGCAATTTGCTGTTCCTGAATCCAATATAGGAGATTAAAGTGCATACCTTATTCATTTCCTTTGCTCTGTTTATTGAGCTTTCCTTGTTTTTCAAGATCTGGATAGTTTTGAAGAGTTCTGGTGAGGTATTTTGTAGAATGTACCACAATTTGGGTTTGCCTGGTGTTTTCTCATGATTAAACTGAGGTTATGTGTTTTGGTGAAGTTTGCTGTAGAGATAAATTGCTCTTCTTGTTAACATCATATCAGTAGTTTCATGATATCAACTTGACTTATCATAAATGATTTTAACTTTCTTGTTTCATCTTTGACCATTTAGTATACCTTGAAACAATCTTTCTTATTCTTCTTTGATGTATGCAGAATCTTGGTTTCTTTGTATTTTCACATACCCTAGAATGCTTGTATTTTTCTGTGTTCTTTGTGTTCCTTTAGTTTTCATACACTTTAACTGGTTTTTCTTTTCATTGATGATTTTCACATGTTTTCTTTTGCTGGATAGACTCTCATCTCTTAGGTTCACTCACCTACACATATTCCAATCTATTGCCATCCTTGTTCTAACTGGAAAATAGTAATGATAGAGTCAGAGACAATATGAAATTTTAGTTAGCGATCTTCTCTTGAAAAATAAAGGAATTATGCAGTAAATCGTAGGAGAATTTTGAAGAAAATCATAGAATAATTTTCTGCCTGATAAAATAAGTTTCATTGATGTAGAATGCCTTATTACTCTAATGATGCCACCAAAATAGGCATTTGCACATAGTCTCTTCTTTCATAAGTTTACATATTAGTTACATGTAGATTTGTAATTCTATGTAAAGTCTCAGATTGTGATTATTTTGTGAAAATAGTAAGAATTGATCATATAATAAACAAATATTAATGTTTTAAAATATTTTATTGCAGATTTTAAAATCACAAGTAGTCTGAGACATGTTAAGACTTTTAAAGCATTATTTGAAGGGATTAATATAAAATTGTTGATTTGCTTCTTTTTAAAATTTGTTTTCACTTTGAGTTTGTTCTGGTTTCTCTAGGAACATATATCCTATAGTATTCCAATTGATGAGAAACTGTATACTGTGCACCTTAAGCAAAGGTAATGTTTTTATTCTTTGGCTTCAGATTTTATTTTATTTTTTTATGAAGCTGTTTACTCATAACAATAAGGAGCATGAAAAAATGATAAGTATAGTTGTTACCAACAATTTAGTTACCGTAGATGACCAGTCACTCTACTGTGACTTAATTAAAATTTTAGCCTAATGCCTCAAATAGTGTTTTGTGAATGGAGGTTAGGAACATAAAAAATAATACTCACCTCCTGAAGACTCAGCTGTATGACATTAAGTTGGCAGAACCAGCAAGATCTGTATAATGGGGGGGGCAATATTACAATGAGTAAATCTGTGACTTATTCTATCACTTACAGTTTCATCAATGAAGTGGGATCACCATGAGAATGTAGAATAAGAGCTTTAACATAGTAATTAGATTTTGTGCTGTTATAGGGATGGCTATTAGTTTGTGGGAAATAATACTAGTTTATATGCTACCCTTCAGAAAATAGAGAAAATACTTGAAATAATTTCTGTGAGGTTTAGTTCTTGACAGAAACTTAGTCTTGAAAATCTGACTTGGAAGTAATTTGTGCCATTCAAGAGGAGAAAGTCAGTTAAATTTTGGAAGTGGAAGTCAGTTGCATGGTGTTAGAGGTCATTCATGAGAAAGTGGAAATAGCATGTGTTAAAAAAAAGCGCTGGGCAGAGAAAGAAGAAAGAGGTGGCTTAGATAAATACATTGAGTTTTTAAATCCACATAGATGGCCAGGAACATATTTTTTAAGAGAGAAAAAAAAACATGAAGTTTTTTGGTTGCAGGGAAAGTTTTTAAAGAGAAATGAAAGGGGTAAACAAAGTGATTCACTGTGTTAGATGCCAAATAACTCTTACAAATAATGAGTTAAATACTCTTTTAGATTAAAGGCATGGAGAACATAGTAAATGACAACTCCAAACTTTTGAAGAGTTTAAGAGAGTAAATGGGAGGACTCACATTGCAATTGTACATTGTATTAGGACAATTAACAGTGTTAAGAGATAAAACAAAGTTTGAAATATTGATAGGACATGTGTATATAGTGTATAACCTAGATGATAGCCCAATGGCCATTAGGAAACTATTTCAAATAACTTATAAGAGAAATAATGAGAAGCAGAACTATGATGGTGTAGAAGTAGATATTTTTTCTAAGAGATACTAAAGAGGTAGAAAAAAAAAAAGATTTGTTACCAGATTGGATGTAGTGTTGACAGGAATGTAGCCAAACATAACAGACCTCAATCAGAGGAAACAGGGTATCACTTTTGAATAAAACTGTATATGAATACCTTGGGACATACCACGGTAATGTTCAGTTGGTAGTTGCTTTAATTGATTTTTAAAGATTGTTATGATTTATTTGACAGAATTACAGAGAGAGAAGGAGAGATAGAGAGAGATAGTTAATGATAAAATTCTGAATAAATTTGGAATAGAAGAGATGTACCTAATCCTGATAAAGTCTGGATATTACAAGTCTATAGCTAATATATTTAACAATGAAAGGTTAAAAACTTTCTATCTAGGATTGGGAACAAGACATGGATGCTTGCTTTCACCAATTCTGATCAATATAGTATGGTAAATCCTAGCCATATAAATCAGGCAAGAGAAAGAAATAAAAGGCATCTAAAATGAGAAATAATAAAGGACAATGTTCCTGTTTGCAAATGATATGATCTTATCTGTACATAGCCCCAACGACCCAATTAAAAACTGTTAGAACTAAACTGTTAGAACTAAACTGTTAGAACTGTTAGAACTAAAATAAAGTAAGTTGTCGGATGCAAAATCAGCGTACAAAAAATCAGCAATGTTTCTATACAATAAAAAAAATCTGAAAAAAGTCAAGAAAATAATCCAATTTACAATATATAAAAATAAAATATGTAGGGATAAAATCTTAAAATTTACTTGAGAGAGATGAATGTATGGAGGAAGGGAAAGAAGGAGGAAGAGAGAGTGAAAGAGAGCCCTACCATCTGATGGCTTATTCCACAAATACCTGCAGTGGCAGAGAGTGAGTCAGGTCAGAGCCAGGAGCCAAGAACTGAATCCAGGTCTCCCACATGGCAGCAGGAAACCAATTGCTTGATGAATCTCTGATGCCTGTATTAATAGGATGTTGAAGTCAGGAGCTGGAGCTGGGTATCAAAGCCAAGTTCCTGATATGGAATACAGGCTTCTTAACTTCTAGCCTAAACCCCCACCCCAATTAGGAATATATTTAACCCAGTAGGTGAAATATGAAAGCCATCAAACATTGATGAAGGAAATTGATGAAGATACAAATAAATTGAAAAGATACATCATGTTCATGGAATGTTTGAATTAATATTTTTAAAATGCTCCTGTTATCCAAAGTGATCCAGAGATTTGATGCAAACTTTATCAGATGTCAAGGACATTTTTCATAGAAAAAGAAAAGAGCCCTGAATGCCCTGAATTCCCAAATTGATCTTGAGCCAAAAAGAACAAAACTGGAGATTTGACATTATTTGAATTCTAAGTATACTTCAGATGTTCAAGATGGCTGAATAGTGAGAAGCCACACTGACTTCAACCACAGAAAGATATCAGAAAAATAAAGACAGGACCGTGTTCCCAGGGGAATAACTTTTTCTTTGAGACAAATTTTCAGTGGGGAATGGATAGAACAGAAAAGAGATTCTATAGAGAAGCAAGGAGAGGACATACATGCAACCACCAGCTGCCTGCCTCCGGTGACTCCTACATATACATGATTAGTGCACAGTTGGGAAGCGCCAACTTCCAGGGAAAGGTGAGAGTAGACTGCCGTGAACCGTGCCACTGGTGGCTTTGACTGTGAGAGAATTTCAGGGTCTCCACTGGCTTTGAGTCTAGCTTGGGGAGCTGGCAGGGGCTGAGCAACTACTTTGCTCCATGGAGGGACGCCATATTGCTTCCTTCCATTTGCTAAGGTGGAGCTCCAGCCTAATCTGTCCTGACTTGGGGAGCAGCAGGTATTTTGTGTTGGGGAAGGATCAGACATTTCATAGGAAATGGCAAGATCTGAGAACAGTTACGCTAAATAGAATGAATCTGCTATGCTTCTAAAAATGATCTAGGTTACAGATGTGGTCTTATGTGCTAAAAAAGAATAATGCATTGTGTTGTGGAGAACAGACATTCTGCATCCTCTACTGTGGGAGTCCTGGGCATAGGCCATGAGGATGAGAGAGGGGCAGGTTGTGGTTGGGTACCTATTCACCTGCCTAGTCTAACTGAGAAACTCAAGAGATCCCTGTGTTGTACCCGAGTGAGTACAAAGGAGCACCACACACTGATAAAATCTGATGGTCCTTTATTGCTGGCGGTGGAGAGTGGGCTCATGCCCTTAAGAACTCTTGACCCCGAAGCCCAAAGCAACAGGGTTTATAAAGGTAAAAACCACAGAACTGGGAGGGGAATACATGGTTACAGGGGTCAAGCTGACTTAAAGCTATGTGAAACTAGTAGACATTATAATCTTAACAATACCAGTTACAATCTTAACAATTCAAATTATAATCTTGACATTAATCCAGGCATTGGCTTAAATCATATGTAGGACATAGACAAGTTACAGTTTTATCATTAACCCAGGTGCAGCCTGTCTACTTCCAAGCTTGAGCAATCATACTGGGGGTTTCTATGCTCTGCTAAGTGTGATGCAAGTTGCCAGGTGTGATGTAGTGGATGGGTATTATCCGAGTGTTTTAGATCATAGTTTCAGACCAGAGTTTCACAGTCGGGGGAAAGGGTGTGCTTTCTAAAGATGGAATCTCAGGTGCTCCAAAATGGAGTCCCTACTGTCAAGGTGTTACTTCACCTGCATGCTGGGTACAGATATTGCAGAGATCTTGGGGGAATGCAGTACATAGTGATTCAGTGCTCTGTATGATGCACATGCCTGGGTCAGTGGGGCAAACAGGAACCATGAGCTCACTGTAGGCTGTGAATCAGCTGGTTCAGCTTAGCATACTAGCCAGCTTCAAAAGCCCCTCCCCCTACTGAGTAACTAGAAGTGTTCCATTACAGAGAACTTGCTTGTTACTCTGGACTTTTTACCTGCCCTGTAAACAGTGGCCAGCTCTCCCTAGCCCCTCTCAGAACATCCTCCCAGAACTCCAGTGTAAGCCTCAGGCACTCCACTGAGCCATAATGGCACATTCCCAACAATAAAGCCTTCAGTCAAAAAAAGAAAAAGAAAGAAATCTATCCTCCAGATGAAATAATAGCAAATGATTCCCTGGGTGCATAAAGATCAACACAGAAACACAAGAAACAAAACCGAGAAAGACAATATGATTCCCCTAAAGGAACACAATAATGCATTCATACAGGACTGTCAGGAAGAGGAGAATGATGTGTACTGACCTTGAATCAATAATAGTCTACCAACAAAGAAAAGCCCAGGACCAGATGTCTTCACTGCTAAATATTACCAGAATTGTAAGGAATAACTAATATTGATTCTTCAACTATTCAAAACAATTGAAATTGAGGGAATCCTTCCAAATTAATTATAAGGCCAGCAGTACCTTGTTTCCCAAATCAGAGAAAGATACAGCAAAAAAGGCAAATATCCCTGATGAACATAGATGCAAACATTCTCAACAGAATACTAGTAAACTGAATCTAAGAGCACACCAGAAAGATCAGCCACCCTGCCCAAGTGGGATTTATCCCAGGGACGCAGGGATGGTTCAAAATCCGCAAATCAATAAAACTGATACATGACATCAACAAAATGATGGATAAAAACCATATCATTATCTCAATAGATATACAGAAAAATTTGTTAAAATACAACATCCCTAGGGCCGGCACTATGGCCTAGCGGGTAAAGCTGCTGCCTGCAGTTGCCAGCATCCCATACAGGTGCTGGTTTGAGTCCGGCTGCTCCACTTCTGATCCAGCTCTCTGCTATGGCCTAGATAAGCAGTGGAAGATGGCCCAAGTCCTTGAGCCCCTGCACCCACATGGGAGACCCCGAAGAAGCTGCTGGCTCCTGACTTTGGATTGGCACAGCTTCAGCTGTTGCAGCCAATTGGGGAGTGAACTAGTGGATGGAAGACCTATCTCTCTCTGCCTTTCCTTCTCTCTCTCTATAACTCTTTCAAATAAATAAATAAATCTTTAAAAATTACAACATCCCTTGTCAATGATTGTGTAAGGAATAGACGCAAGACACTGAGAAGAGAGGGAGTAAATTGGGTGATTTGTGGTATTTTATAGGAAATGGCAAGATGTGAGAACAGTTACACTAAATAGAATGAATCTGCTATGTTTCTAAAAATGCTCTAGGTTACAGATGTGGTCTTATGTGCTAATAAAGAATAATGCATTTGATCTAATTTTTAATTTTTTTTTTTTGATGGAGTGCACAGTGAGAGAGAGAGACAGAGAGAAAGGTCTTCCTTTGCCATTGGTTCACCCTCCAATGGCCGCTGTGGCCGGCGCGCTGGGGCCGGCGCGCTGCGGCCTGCGCACCGCGCTGATCTGAAGGCAGGAGCCAGGTGCTTCTTCTGGTCTCCCATGCGGGTGCAGGGCCCAAGGACTTGGGCCATCCTCCACTGCACTCCCTGGCCACAGCAGAGAGCTGGCCTGGAAGAGGGGCACCCGGGACAGAATCCTGCCCCCTGACCGGGACTAGAACCCGGTGTGCTGGCGCCGCAAGGCAGAGGATTAGCCTGTTGAGCCGCGGCGCCAGCCCATTTGATCTAATTTTAAATGGAATATTGGCATGTAAGAAATTATGTCAAAGAATATGTTTATAATTTCATATTTTGCCCAGCGCTGTGGGTCAGTTGTTTAATCCTCCGCCTGCAGCGCCGGCATCCTTTATGGGCCCCCGGTTCTAGTCCCAGTTGCTCCTCTTCCAATCCAGCTCTCTGCTGTGGCCTGGAAGGGCAGTGGAGGATGGCCCAAGTGCTTGGGCCTCTGCACCCGCATGGGAGACCAGGAGGAAGCACCTGGTTCCTGGCTTCGTATCGGCATAGCTCCAGCCGCCATGGCCATTTGGGGAGTGAACCAACAGAAGGAAGACCTTTCTCTCTGTATTTCTCTCTCTCATTGTCTATAACTCTACCTGTCAAATAAATAAAAAAATAATTTCATAATTTAACTGTCAACTGTAATTTGACATCTTCCACATCTTCTACTCCCTTTCTGAAGCTCAAGTTCATCTCTAGTATTAACCATAGTCATAATATTTTCTTCAGTTTTTCGTATCCAGTTGACTACAAATGCCTTTGTGTATACCATTCTTGCTCTTATTTTCTAAACTGAATCAGACAGTGGGTCCTGCAGAATTTTCTGGTTTCCATCCCTTCCTCTCCATTCCTGGTGAAACCTAGCTCAGACACTTTCCACTGAACAGCTTTGTGGTTATTCTTCCTGACTTTGTTTATTACCTTTATTTATTACCTTTCAAATGCAGTCTGCATACTGTCCCAAGATAAATCCTCTACAACATTTTTTTAAACTACACTATAAAACTTGCTACCACTTGGAGGGTTTCTTATTTCTATTACATCTAATGCCCCACACATAGTAGTCTCTGGAGCTGAGTGATGTAACACACTTGACTTTGAGTAAGGAAATAAAGGACAAGTTTATCCAGTTGGTACCAACTTGAAAGGAATTGAACAGACATCCAAATTCATCTCAGTAAGCTGGAGTATAAATTATCAATACGAAGCCGGCGCCGCGGCTCACTAGGCTAATCCTCCGCCTTGCGGCGCTGGCACACTGGGTTCTAGTCCCGGTCAGGGATTCTGTCCCGGTTGCCCCTCTTCCAGGCCAGCTCTCTGCTGTGGCCAGGGAGTGCAGTGGAGGATGGCCCAAGTGCTTGGGCCCTGCACCTCATGGGAGACCAGGATAAGTACCTGGCTCCTGCCATTGGATCAGCGCGGTGCACTGGCCGCAGCGCGCCGGCCCCAGCGCGCCGGCCGCGGCGGCCATTGGAGGGTGAACCAATGGCAAAGGAAGACCTTTCTCTCTGTCTCTCTCACTGTCCACTCTGCCTGTCAAAAAAAAAAAAAAAAGAGAAAAGAAAAATTATCAATATGACACAGCTTAGATTCAAATGTAAAGTTTAGAAAAAAGGCATTTTCCCCTTTAACATTCTAAACACTATGCTTCCATTATAAGATTTGAATGCTTTCTGTTTACAGAATTAAAGTAGTATTAGCAAGCAATACCAAAAAGACAAGTACCATATGTTTCCTCTGATCTGTGGTAACTGAGTACCTTAAAGGTAATCTATAGGAGTAAAATTGACACTTTGTGGAGTGATGATTTTGAATAGCCTTGTCTTGACTGTTGAGGAACAATGAGTTTTGTTTGTTTGTTTTTGTTTTTTCTTCATACTATTTGTTGAGCTCTCTACTTAGTGCAGAGTTAATCTTATGAGTATAAAGTTAACTGAAAATAGATCTTTTTAAAAAGAATGGGGATGGGAGAGGGAAAAGGAAGAAGCATTGGGAGTATGGGCAGGAAGGAGATAGGGTGGAAAGAATCACTGTGTTTCTAAATTTGTATATATGAGATGCATGAAGTTTGTATTCCTTAAATAAAATTTAAAATGAATAAATAAATGTATTAAAAACTTAAAAATAATCTTTAATGTGATATATAATACTACATTTATTTTATGCCACTTCATAATAGATATCTTTCCCAATTTGCTGCATAAGAGGGGATCAATATTTAAGTATTCAAAACTCACTGGAGGATGTGCTGAGCATAGCTTGCTCTTTTTCCCTCTAGTTAGATTGTTTAAAGGCTCAGGTTAAGTTACTTTTACATTTTAAAGTGCATTAACTTCCTAAAATTTCTGCCCTTAAATGCTACACTAATTTAATATTTGTCCTATATCCTTTTAAAATCTAATTTATAGGCCGGCGCCGCGGGTCACTAGCCTAATCCTCCGCCTTGCGGCACCAGCACACCGGGTTCTAGTCCCGGTCAGGGCGCTGGATTCTGTCCCGGTTGCCCCTCTTCCAGGCCAGCTCTCTGCTGTGGCCAGGGAGTGCAGTGGAGGATGGCCCAAGTCCTTGGGCCCTGCACCCGCATGGGAGACCAGGATAAGTACCTGGCTCCTGCCATCGGATCAACGCAGTGCTCAGGCTGCAGCGTGCCGGCTGCGGCGGCCATTGGAGGGTGAACCAATGGCAAAGGAAGGCCTTTCTCTCTGTCTCTCTCACTCACTGTCCACTCTGCCTGTCAAAAAAAATTAATTTAGACAGAAATCTGAATTGACCTTTATTATATTTTCTCTACTTTTAAACTGCAGTCATCTATTAGCAATTTTCAGACTCATGAATGGGAAATTTTTCTATACTAAAATAATATTTTTTTAATTTAGATATTTCAGTGAGAAATATAATAATCTTGTCAATTTCAGGAGGTGTAGCATTAGTCATTTGTGACTTACATCAGGAGGAAAGGTTGGAGCCAGTTTTAGTTAGGTACATGAAAAATGTACCTTCACCTTCACACAACTCAGAAATGGCTAAAGCAATTTGGTTCAAACTCTCAAACAAGTTCACCTTTAATACAAACTAAAGTTTGAAAATCTCATCCAAAATGGAATTGCACCCAGAGAAAATTATGAGTAAGACTTGAAAAGCAGATATAAGTTATAAAATAATTCTTTTTTAAACTTAACATAAGCTATTTTTCTTGTAAAAAGTTTTTTATACTTATTATAAGAGAAATTAGTAACTAGTTTTAAATTTGAAGCTTCTAATAGTTACAAATTTATTTTAAGAAAAATTAGTGGAAAAATTACTTTTAGTTGAATTATTAACATTGGTAATCAAAGTAAAATCGGTACATAATATGTGATACTGTAATTTCTATAGTATTCATTAGCATATTTTGGGATAAGATTATCTGGAGGTCTACACACTACCCAATGTATATATATTTAAGGGGCTATATTTAAGGCATTTATGGATTAATGATTACCTGCAGCCCTTGGACCAACTGACAACCATCTGGGGAGTGAACCACTGGATGGAAAAATTGTCTCTCCCTCTCGCTCTGTAACTCTGACTTTCAAAATAAATAAAAAAATCTTTAAAATAAATATTATAAAAACTCATTTATCTGTACCCTTATGTGCATTTCTTGGTATACATGCTGAATTTTAACAAGATGTCAAAAACCAAAGTATACTACGAAGATACCTCTTTATATGGAAATAAATGAAGCCACAAAAGTGAAAAAAGTAAATCTGTTGAGGTGGGGGTGAATGTTAAAGTGTTAAGGGTTAAGAGTAAAACAACCTATAATTGAATGCCATGAAAACGTTTAAGGATGAAGGGAATGTCTTGAAGTTTCAATGCACATGCTAAAATGAAAATGAGTTTTACACAATACTCTTTCACATCATTATAAAAGTAATACATTTGCATAGTTATAGGATTTACATTGAAAGATGAGAAAACTGTCCATCCTTCATCCAGTTCATATCTATACATTTTAAAATACCACATAATTATTTTCATAAAAAAGTAACATTAAAGCAGTTAAAGTATTTTTGTCCTTGTGTTTCAGACTTATTTTCTTTAAAGAGTCTATTAAATCAGGAAAATTACTTTATTTCAGTAAATGTGTGTTTCTTTGTATAAAATTCAAATATATTTCAAAAGAAGATCCTCCTTTTATTCAAGGGTTCCAAAATATTTTCTTCAAAGGTTTGGAGAGTTAATATTTCAGGCTTTGAAAGCCATATGGCCTGTGTCAAAATGACTTAAGTCTGTACTATGAGGGCAGTTATTGTCAATGTGTAAATGAATGGATATGGCTTTGTCCCAATGAAACTCCTTTTAGAAACATAGAATGGGTCAGAGTTGACCTGAGGTTATCAATTTACTAATTGCTGCTATTTATATGTTTCAGGAAAAATAATGTGTAAAATTCTCTTTCTTACAATTAGATATTTTTTGGCAGATAATTTTATGGTTTATTTGTATAATCAAAAATCTGTGAGTACTCATTCTACAGATATTAAGGTAAGATTTATGTTATGTTTTTATAAACTTTAAAAAAATTTTAAATCATGAATAAATGCTTTTCTAGTATATAAACTCTCAAGATTCACAGGGGGATATATTTAAGGTATTTATGGATTAATGATTAGGTTGGGTGCCAGGTTCTAGTCCCAGTTGCTCCTCTTCCAGTCCAGCACCTTCTGCTGTGGTCTGGGAGGGCAGTGGAGGATGGCCCAAGTGCTTGAGCCCCTGCGCCCACATGGGAGACCAGGAGCAAGCACCTGGCTCCTGGCTTCGGATCGGCGTAGCTCTGGCTGTGGTGGCCATTTGGGGAGTGAACCAATGGAAGGAAGACCTTTCCGTCTCCCTCTCTCACTGTCTGTAACTAACTCTACCTGTGAAATAAACAGATAAAAAAATCTTTAAAACAAAACAAAACAAAATCATAATCCAAAAGAATAGTTAGGGTTGTGGAAAGTGTCCAAAATGTGGCGATTTTTTTCTTCTCAATGCCACTTTGCTCATACTGTTGTAAACCAGGTAGCTTGTGAGAAATATTCAGAAAGTTCAATCAAGTATAGAAGCAGGAAATCACTAGAAAGTTTTGTCAGTTCCTAAGTAACCACTTTCTTTCTTCCCTAGCCTCACTGTTACTATCAAGGATATATTGAAGGATATCCAAATTCCATTGTCACACTCAGCACGTGCTCTGGACTCAGGTTATTTTTTTTTTCCTATTCTGGATTACAGAAAAGCAGAGTTATATTTGTCTATAGAAAATTTATTGTTTATATTAAGTGTGAACCTGAAGGAGGATTCTTATGCTGAGGTTTTTCAACAGCATCCTCCTCTTAACATGTTTCCACTTTCATTATTTCTTCTCAGTTTCCTCACTGACCAGAGACATTTCTAACTTCCTGAAAGGTTAGATTCACAACTTTCCTTGCACGTTTGCTTGTTTATTTTTCTTAAGTACAGAAATGGCAGTTGGAGGGGCTTGACAACCGTAAGAGAAGCTAAATTCAGGATATTTTATCTCAGCAAAGAGTATTTTTGATATATAGTAGTGTTTGGATATATCAGAAAAAACATATAATGTTTTCTTTTTCAAGGAAGCCATTTTCAAAGTGAAGAGGCAGGTTATATAAAAACAAATAGTTATATTGCTCATGTTTTTTCTAGTACCACCATCATGAATTCTCCACAAATTGTTGGGTTTCCTTCTTAGTGCTCTGAGAGTTTTTCTATTCTGTCAGGAAATTATCTACCTTCATTTTATAGCTCAGGAAACGTGTTTAAGTTTTTACAAAAATTTTAATGATATAAAGAGAACAAATTTCATGTATTTCATAGGTACAATTCTAAGACGATAACCATATTTGCCTCCCTCCTTCACTCCCTCCCTCAACCCTCCTCTTTCCTTCCTTTATTGTTTTTATTTTTTGCAAAAACATAATTTCAATCCACTCTGTAATCACAGGCTTAATACACCACTAACCATAATATTCAACAGGTAAAAAGTCGAAAGACCACAGTTCCACAGTAGTATGAACAGGAACCTTGGTATTCTATAGTGCTTTTTACTTGGATCTCTGAAATTTGGAGCTGAAATTTGTTTTTTTGGGAGTAGTGATTTGAATTGTTATCCATATTCAGGAAAGGAAAATTATATGAATTGTTTATTCATTGGAATCTTTCTTTTAATCAAGACCATGTATCTAACAAAATTGTCATTTAATAATTATTGCTAAATTTAATTTTTATTAATATGATTTTTCATGCTATATGCATTGTTACTCAAAATTTTAAATTATTGCAAACCAAAGAAATTCATCAAGAATTCCTTTTAATATAGCTTTAGTTAAGTCATTGACTTGGAAAATAGGAATTACTTGATCACTGTAATGTGCATCTGACAATTGACTAAATAATTTGTTGTAATCTAATAATCAATTTGGTAATTTTTGCTGCTTTTATAACTATGAAAAGGTGAAGTGGAAAGTTGGTTTTGTGGATTGGGGAAATATTTTTTCACTTGGAGTCATCTCTAGAAGAGTTTGGGTCAAAATACTGGACTCAGAATATTCTATATATTATTTTTTCTTTTCTATTTTGTCAGAATTTCGTAATATTGATTCAATTAAAAGCACACAAAATTTTTTATTTAATTTTACAGAGGAGTACTGCAATTTGAAAATGTTTCTTATGGAATTGAGCCTCTGGAATCTACAGTTCAATTTCAGCATCTTCTATATAAATTAGGAAATAGAAATAAGGAATTTTCAAGTTTCAACAATGATACTAAAATCATAGAAAAACACTCAAAGGACTACATCATTTATATAGGTGAAAAAGTGAGTTGGGTATACCTTATTACTACTTTCAAAGCAGTTATTGGTTGTGTTTATTTAAATTAATAGGCTATTGTATGGCTATAGGAAATGTCGTTTCCTTGTGAACATCTAATCTTTTCTCAACCCAACTATTTCCTTGAATCCAGACATCAACCTTTTCTCCTTGCAACAATCTATCACTTTCTGCTTATGAGCAGCTTTATTTTGGTTCTTATTTTGTTTGTTAACATTATCATTTTCTAAAAATTAAGTAATTTTTAAACAAAAAATTCCAAGTTCTTGCTGTTGTCTCAAAATTACTGGAAGTTATTCAATAGAGCCAATATTTATAGAGCTTGATTCATGACCAAAGAGTCAGCATTAACTAAATTATAAGTATAATTAAAGTATCATAAACAGGGTTGCCTGATATGGCCATGTGTATTGTTCAACATGCTGCCTGCATTACAGCATGTGATAGTCCTCATCAACGCATTGTAAAGGGATAAAACTGAATACCAAGAAATAATGGCATACATTTACATAGATTATACAAGAGTATGTGGCAATATTAGTTGTTCCTAGTACATGTCCTGTCCATCTTCTGTCAATTAAAAAAAAAAACCCTCAGAATTTAGCTGGGCATATGTCTCCTTTATTTCCAGTTGAGGTCTTGAGACAAAGTTACAGCTGTTGATGACATATATAGTTAAAGCTGATGATAACATGTGAGCAGACATACTGTGTTTCTCTGGACTGAATTCTAAAGGGAAAGGTCTTATCCTCCATGCCAGTTCCCTTTCCTGCTGTCTGGAGTGTAGGAAATGCCCTGGTCATTATGGATCAGGATGGTACCACATGGATAGGAAGGTAGAATGCACTTTGCTCTTGAAAAATTTACATAGTGGAACACTCTGAACTTTTAGGTATGAGAGAAGTAAACTCTAATCTTGTTTAATTCATCATTAATTTCTGGCTCTGTTATAGCTACTAATTATATATCCTAGGTAATACAGGACCTAATGGACTATGAAATGTGTATGTAACACCTAAATATTCAGTACTACTACAGATATGTGTATAATTTATAATACATTTTTGTTAAATACTAGCAATTTTGTTTCCCTTGTAAGAGTTTAGGAATGTAAGTACAAGGCTTAGATGACCTGGCATAGTGAACAGTACTGGTGCTCTGCCCAGATGTTCTCAGGTTTCTTTATACTGTATTTTTGTGGGGGTAGGGTGGGATGGTAGAAGACACTGTCTTTGTTTTGTGCTTTTGCTTTTAACAGTTGGCACTTGTGGCACTTTTTTGATTTGTAGTCCTTCAGCTACTGAAACTTCTAGAGATCTGCATTTCCCTATGGTGTTCCTCAACTAGTGCATCAGTGACTCACAGGTCAGAACAACCTGCTCCAGAGTTTATTTCTGGGACTTTGCCTGTGAGCACACTCTCATGTGGCTTCCCTTACTCTTAATCCTTCTTCTACTGGTGTCTGGGAGGGGAACTTCCTTAATGAATAATTTATGCAGGAATTCTGTCCTAGATAGATTGGTCTTTGAAGAGTGACACAGTTCTTTTTAAAGGTTTATATATATATATCTGCTTTATAACGGAATGCTTTCTCATTTGAGCACCTGTCTTCCAAACTGAATTTGTGTTGTTTTAAAAGTGACACGACCCGCAAAACAAGTTAGGAAGCTCTGGGTGCTCAGGGACATCACTTTATCTGGATGAGTGTTGGAGGAAAGAAAAATGACAGACTGAGAAAAGTAGAAAGTTCCCCTTAGATTTACTTGGTTGATGATTATTATTGTAGCTTCCTCCCTTCCCCTCCCCTCTCCTCCTCACCCCTTCCTTCTCCTCCCCTCCTCTCCTCTCCCCTCCCCTCCCCTCTTCACTTCTCCTCTCTGCTTCTCTTCCCTTCACTCCCCTTCCCTCCCATCCCCTCCAGCCTCTCAGGGATGTTGCTTCTTAATGCACAAAGCTTTGCAGATAAATTACTTCCAAACCAATCTAGGTTGCCTTGTGTAGCTTGGTCCATTGAATAACTGTCAATGGTGAACTGGTGAGAAAAACCAAGAAAGAAAATGGAGAGCAGGACTGAATAAATAAATTCTTATAAAAAAGAATAAATTGAAAAAATGGAACAGAAGTAATGGATATAAAAGGACACTTTCTTAATTTGAGACAAAAATTTTTAAACTTCAGATGTTCTCTGGGACAGAATCAGTAAATGAAGTGATACTAACAGTCAAACAACTTTTGACCTAAGGTCTGGACTTTGAGTTTAAATAGTGTGTTAAAAAAAAACCCAGATTAGTTAGTGTGCTGTACATTGAGATTTAATGCTGTAACTAGTACTCAAACAGTATTTTTCACTTTATGTTTCTGTGTGGGAGCAAACTGTTGAAATCTTTACTTAATGTATGCTAAACTGATCTTCTGTATATAAAGAGTTCTAAAGGAATTTGAAAATTAGCTTTGCTGGGTAATTTTGCTTTTTAACATTCATCAAAAGATAGGTTAAGGGGTAGGATGATTAATGAGTGCTAAGTTACCGCTATGTAGGAGTAAGAAGCTTGGTAGTCTTGCACAATAGGATAACTAGTTAATGTGCTGTACATTTCTATATGAAAAGAAACTAGAAGATAAAGTTTTGGATAGTTTAACTATAAAGAAATTTAAGTGTGTTCGAAATGCCCTTAATGGACAATATGCAATGTATACATGTATGGAAACATCACATGTACCCCAAAAGTAGGCACAATTTTTATATGTTGTTTAGATTCTTTAATTAAAAAGATAGTTATGAAGGCTCTATTGTGTTATAGATAAAAATATTGTCACCCAGGAGCTTTATTCTGTTGTCATTTAAAAGTGAAAATGTCAGAAATATCTCAAAAATAGATGATTTCAGAAGCTGAATTCTCATTAATTCACTTGAAATCTATTAAATTAAGAATTCCTTAAAAGCAGACATTAAATTAGTTTGTTTTAGTGAAGCATTATTGAGAAAAATAAACATGTTTCAATTTCTAGTCTTTTCCTTCCTCCTCAGTTATAGAGACATATGACCTGCTGACGGTGCTCAGGAAACTTTCTTTCATGAGAAAAAAAATTGATCAGTAGAATTTTAATTCTTAACCAAATACTAGATATTCAGGCTCCATCCAAAATGGGAAGTAAGAACTGTATCAAATTTTACTAACAGTTTGTGGGATCACCAAGATGATTGAAAAGCATTATTGCCAAAGTGCCATATGCACAGTACCTCAGGTTCTACATATTTTACTTATTTATTTAAAAATATATATTTTCTTAATTAAAATTTTTAATCTCTTCTTTTTACTATGCTTTACTTTTATTTAAAAAATTTTAATATAAAGAGAACATATTTCAGGTTCACTTTTAAGAAGATAACCATACTTGCCTCCCTCCCTCAACCCCCCTTCTTCATTCCTTTCTTCTTTTTTTACTTTTACAAAAACATAATTTCAGTTTACTTTATAATGACAAGATAAATGCCCCACTAACCATAATATTCCACAAGTGAAAAATAAAAAGACCACTGTTCCACAGAAGTATAGACATAGGCTAAAAATTATAATAAACCATAGGATATCCATTTTATTTTTATATTTTTTGTATTCTGTATAAATTACCACATATCAGAGAAAACATACAATATTTGTCTTTTGGGGATTGGCTTATTTCACTTTTTTAATTAATTTATTTATTTATTTTTTTGACAGGCAGAGTGGACAGTGAGATAGAGAGAGAGAGACAGAGAGAAAGGTCTTCCTTTTTGCTGTTGGTTCACCCTCCAATGGCCGCCGCGGCCGATGCGCTGCAGCTGGTGCATCGTGCTGATCCGAAGGCAGGAGCCAGGTGCTTCTTCTGGTCTCCCATGGGGTGCAGGACTCTAGCACTTGGGCCATCCTCCACTGCACTCCCGGGCCATAGCAGAGAGCTGGCCTGGAAAAGGGGCAACCGGGACAGAATCCGGCACCCCGACTGGGACTAGAACCCGGTGTGCCGGCGCCGCAAGGCGGAGGATTAGCCTATTGAGCCATGGCGCTGGCCCTTATTTCACTATTATGCTTAGTAAAGTAAATATATATATATATATATATACATATATATATGTTGTGTGTGTGTGTGTGACTTTTAAATACCAATACTTTTAATATGTATGTCTATAATTGGGAAATAGGCAATTGAACCAACTTTCATGCTAAAGACACACAAAACTATGTTAAAAATCTTAAAATCCTCAAGTATATTTTAATATGTGAGAAATTTCTGGGAGAATACCTGGGGAAAGTGTGATAACAGAGAGGTAAGCACATGCTTCTATAGCTGCCTTCAACCTAATGTTATTTTATTTAATCCTGATAAACAGTTGTTTATTTGAACTTCATCTTTGGTGGCCTTATGAGAGAATGAAAATTAAAAGCCCCAGAGGAGGTAGTTTGATAAACTGCTTCTCACTCTGAGCTAGCTGTGGAAATAAATTTGAAATTAGGATGGTGGGAGTTCACCCACCACAATATTAGAGAAATTCACCAACTTTTCTCCTAAGGTGGTGATACTAAATTTGTGGTTTGTTTTTTTTTTTTTTTTTTACCCTTGAGGAAATGGAGGTGAATGGGTCATTTATTTATATATTGTCAACTGGCCAAATGTGTACAAGCAGGGGTTCTGAGAGGAAGAGTAGCAGTATAGAAAGTGATGCAACTTACAAATTGGCACAAGAGCACTGCCTCTGAGTATTTATTGACTCCATTTACAAAGCCCAGTCCAGACTGAGAGCAAGGAGAAACAGACTCTACTGTCAGTGAGATAGACTGCAGAGGACATGGATATAGGAAGGAGTTAAAAAAATAGTAACCATTTTTTCATTTTTATCACCTAAATAATTTATAAAGTAGTTTAATCAATTTTTGTGTGCCAATGAAATAGATGCTAGATGTTTTGTTCTGTGTTCACAAATTGGGAGCTGCAGATATACTGATGATCTGTTATGACTTTATAACCAGCATTCTTACTACTGCTAGAGTCCATTGCTATAAAACTTAAGGGATATACATTGATATTAATTAGTTATAAAAATAGTCATGTAAATGCTATGGTAATAGCTTTGATAAAGTGTTCAGAATTCATAAATGATGAAATATTTCAAGTTTTATATGCTGCTTTTTTCTAGCCAATACTGCCTGTTCCAGATGTATTTCCTCTTTATCTAGAAATGTACATTGTGGTGGACAAAGCTTTGGTATGTGTTTTGCTTTTTCTTTGATTTTAAATATTTGGTAAAAATATACAATTATCCATACATTAAGAGCAACTAAAAATTATGATCTTTTGAATGGGTTGTCATAGGAAAAACATTGTAAAACTGTTAAACTGTTAGCTGAAAAACCAGATAGAGTTACACTAATGCTGTCAACAGTCCTGCAGAATGAAGTGGTTTTTTTCTGGCCTTTCACATTTTTAGGACTTCTTCAGATATGATTCCAACTGCTTTTAATGGCACTATGTGGACAAAATGTAAATTTTTAAGCTTTTTAGTCCTATTATGGGGAAGTCATGAAGAGCAAGCTGTCCGTGTTCTAAGAAATGTTTTGCTGTGTAAAATATTTATTAGAACAAAAGTGATGATAGTACAACTATATATGAGGACAACTTACAATAACGTGTCTAGTGTCTAGCTTTTTAGCAGTGTTTTTTGTTTGTTTGTTTGTTTTTTTTTGTGGTATACCTGTGATAGTTCGTTGTTTACCTGACCTGGAAACCTCTAGATCTTTGATTCCCATAAACAATTGAGGGCCTCTGAAATATTCATTGTCTTTGAGATGATAACTTTGCTTTTTTTTTTTTTTTGACAGGCAGAGTGGACAGTGAGAGAGAGAGACAGAGAGAAAGGTCTTCCTTTTGCTGTTGTTGGTTCACCCTCCAATGGCTGCCGCGGCCGTAGCGCATCGCGATGATCCGAAGCCAAGGGCCAGGTGCTTCTCCTGGTCTCCCATGCGGGTGCAGGGCCCAAGCACTTGGGCCATCCTCCACTGCACTCCCTGGCCATAGCAGAGAGCTGGCCTGGAAGAGGGGCAACCGGGACAGAATCCGGCGCCCCGACCGGGACTAGAACCCGGTGTGCTGGCACTGCAGGCAGAGGATTAGCCTATTGAGCCGCGGCGCCGGCCGATAACTTAGCTTGTAATCAAAGAGGTTGTGCTTTATTTCTCCTAATAGTTAAAAGATTTCAGATAATGGGGATAAAATATATTTTCCAGGGTTTATCCTGATTATAAGCATTTGATTGTCATACCTGGGGAACATCACAGATAATATCAAAAGGGCTCCTTATCAATTACATTCCAAAGGTTGTAAAGCTTGTCAGGAATCCAGAGTTAAAGTCAGAGATAATAGGAATTTAAAGATGGTTTCTTAAATACTTGGTTCATTACAGGAAAAAAATGACAGAGGGGCCATTTAAGAGACAGTGGAGATAATGAGATATTTAAGAGATAGTTGAGATATGATTACATCTAAAGGGGCTGGTTTGGATTATGAAAATGATTTTGTTTCAGGACTTTGTTATAACTGTTTGAGAGTTGTTTTAAATGATTCTTGTATAATACTTGTATAATACTGTATAATACTTGTATAATACTGGTTAAGCATACTTTCTCTCTATTCTTATGTTTATTTACATAGTAATAAGGCAAACATTGTCCCAGCTATGAATTCTCTGTTACTAGATATTGCCATTTAAAGGGCAAGAATATAAATATGTTCTTAAGTGACTTAATAAAAATGATTCTGCAATTTTATCCTTGTCAGTTCAGTGCCACAGTTGAGGAAAGCATATAGTGCTATAAAAATGTAGTTTAGCAATGGAGATATGAATAGAAACACACAATTGTAGCTTGAGCAACTGTAAGAGCCCACAAGTGGCTATTTTAAAATTCAGGGTTGTCTTGTTATTCAGGTATGATGAGGCCATGAGAGCAGTAAATGTTGCTATTGAGAAGAATGTTGCTATTGCTATTTGGGACTCATATTCTCAAGAGGAGGGAGCAGTGTACATCATACAGGTGGCCACAAGGGAAAGGACTGGTGTTAGGAGACAGAGAGAAAGCCAGAGGGGAATGTGGACAGGAGACTTTATTGTGATTTCCTTTGCAGGGTTGGGTAGGCAGGTGTGGGAGGATTGGCTAGTTTGAATAATTCAGCTGAGCCCTGGGATGAAGGGGCTGTTCATTGTTGTCTAGTACCTGCCTCTGGGGTGAGCAGTGCAAGGTAATAGTGGCCCTCAGTGTAAAACCTTAGAGAGGAGGTGATTGGATCAAGGCTTTGGATTAATTGGCTTGTATTTGAAAGGGACACTTGAAGGTAAGCCATTTACTATCTCTTGGAATTTGCTATCTCTAAGAAGTGTGACCAGTAAAGCCCCAAGATGTCAAAGCATAGGAAATACAAAAACTAAGAGCAATGGTCAGTATTGTGGGTTACATGATGAATACAGGAAATGAGTAATGGGTGTAGTTTGGGACCAGGGATGACTGCAAAACTTTGCTTTGCAAGTGTGAGCGAAGGTTCTTTTCAGGAAACTGCAAGTTCAGCTTGTTTAATATACATGGTTAATAGAGGGACACAGACATAGATGAAGAATTAATATGATATTTGGGTTTATCCTAAAGGCAATGGAGAGCCATTGAAATTTTTAAAACAGGGGTATGGCACACTTATGGTTTAATTTTAAAATAATCATTTTGGTAATTGTATAGTGGCTGGATTGCTGGTAAGAAAATGGGAGAAGTGAGCATGTAAGATATTATTCTAGTAATCAAGGTGAAAACCTCAAATAAATTATTTTTTTAGCACTAGAAATAAAGGAACAACTTTAAAAGTTACTGATGAGATTAAAGTTGAGGGACCTATAATTTTATTTGATTAATCATTTACTTAACAAATTTACTGAATAACATCTAGATACCATTTGCTTTTCTAGTTATTAGGGAAATGGCAGTGCACAAAATAGAAAAACCACCTCTGTTTTCATGGAGCATGTATTAAAATAAGCGTGAGATGTAGGAGAGGATAAGACTATTCACTGAAGTAGCAAAAAATTTAAGTAGGACCATTTTCTTAGGGAGGATAATGAGTTTAGTTTTGAATTATTTAAAGATCATATAGGACATTTAAGGCATAGTATAGTAGCAAGTTGATCTATAGACGTGGTATTTGTCATTGTTACAATATGGAGTTTATTCATATTTCAGTAGTTATATATGTACTAATTTGTGCAAGCATATGTGCATGTGTGTAGGGGAGACAGGATTATGTTTCAGTATCACAAAGGTAGTCTTGTGTAACCACCACCACAATCGGAATACTCAATAGTGCCATCACCACAAGTCTCTCTTACGTTGTCCCTGTAAGTCACAGCCATTCTGCCCCCTCCCACCTTGTCTTCTTAACCTTGGCAACCACTAAGCTGTTCTCTCTTGTAATTTCACCAATATTTCCTAAATATTCATAAGTATAGTGTTTGGTATCATTTTAGGATTTGTTTTACACTCAATATAATTTCTTGAGGATTTTTCAAGTTCTTCTAGATGTCAACAAACATTCTGTTTTATTGCTCAATAGTATCCTATGGTATGAATGCACTAGTTTATTTAACTGTTTAACCACTGGAGGACATATGAGTTGTTTCCAATTTTGGACTATTATGAATAAAGCTGTTATGGACGTTCATAGACACAGGTTTTTGGGTGAGCGTAAGTTTTCATTTCTTTGGGATAAATGCTCAGGAGTGCAATTTCTGGATCATAGAGTAAATTGATTTGTTTTGAAAGAAGTTGCCAAACTAATTTTCAGAGTAGCCATACTAGTTTATGCTCCCAACAGCAATGTATGAGTGATCCAGTTTAATGTCTTATTTTGAATTGTTAAACCCAAAAGCAGCCTCAAACCTCTGACAGTAGATGGAGAGAAAATCTCAAAAATGGCCTGGCGCCATGGCTCACTTGGTTAATCCTCTGCCTGCGGTGCTGGCATCCCATATGGGCGCTGGGTTCTAGTCCCGGTTGCTTCTCTTCCAGGCCAGCTCTCTGCTGTGGCCCTGGAGCGCAGTGGAGGATGGCCCAAGTGCTTGGGACCCTGCACCTGCGTGGGAGACCAGGAAGAAGTGCCTGGCTCCTGGCTTCGTATCATTGCAGCGCTGGCCATAGCAGGCATTTGGGGGGTGAACCAATGGAAGGAAGACCTTTCTCTCACTCTCTGTAACTCTGTCAAATAAATAAATAAAAGATCTTTAAAAAAAAAGAAAATCTCAAAAATGTCATGTAACAAATTGTATTAAAATATGAAATTGATTCTGTTTTTCAGGATGAATACCTGGGCTCTGATAGCACAACAGTAACAAATAAAATCATTGAAGTTTTTGGCCTTGTAAATTCAGTAAGTATTTCCCTTTTCATATCAGACGTATTTTAGTTTAAAATTATAAATTGTACTAACTTGACGTAGTGTTTCTGAATAACAAAATTATGCATATATAATGATTTTACAAAAATATCAAAATAATTTCTTGGTTATTAAAAATAAAAAATTAACTGCACATATTTGTTTTTCTGTTCTTAGATGTTTACCCAATTTAAAGTCACTGTTGTGCTGTCATCATTAGAATTGTGGTCAGATGAAAATAAAATTTCTACCATTGGTGAGGCAGATGAATTATTGCACATATTTTTAAAGTGGAAACATTTTTATCTTACCTTAAGGCCTCATGATGTTGCATATCTATTCATGTAAGCATAATGTTTCAGTACTCCTCAAAGGGAAAAACAGATCTGTGGTAATGAGATAATTACATAGTTTGAAACAGAAAACTGTTATTCATTTATGACTGTGTTTTGATTATTCATTATGTGCTTTATTTTGGCTGCCTGATGACTTTCTAGATGTCAGGCAATATGGAAAGGAACTCACATTTATTTCTATGCTTATCAACTTTGTACACGGAGATTGAGATTTCCAGAGGTTAAGCTTTCTCAGAACTTTCAGACCTAGAGATGTATCTGTGGTTTGAACTCACAGTTTGTTAATTCCAGAGCCCCTACTCTAAACTTGTACACAGAAACGGGATTTACTTGACATCATTTGTATTTTTATTATGCGTTTTGATAAAAAACTTGCTAATGTGAGTTGTAAGTAGTTTGTTCTAGTGAATTTTCTGCATTATTTAAAAATGTTTTATAATGTTATAGCTATATATTTATAATTTTATTCATACTATGCTTTTGCAACAATCAAATTTCTTTCAATAGATCTCTGTATATATCTATAGGTAAACGTAGATATTTATATAGAAATATATATGTATGCATATATATATATATATGCTGTTTCTCTGTTGGTATGTCCTTATTTCCTTTTGCATGTATAAGTTAATCTTTCACATCTCTTCCACTAATAAATGTTTTACTTTTTTCATTTTTTCTAGTCTGATGGATATAAAGCAATGTCACTGTCATCTTCACTTGCTATTTTCTGATGAATTGAGCATCTTTTCTTATGCTTCACAGATCATTTGGCTCTGTCCTTCTGTAACTGTCTTTTCATATCTGTGTTAATTTTATTTACTTGGAAAAGAAGAAGGAAGGGAGGAAGGATGGGAGGGAAATAGAGCAAGAGAGAGCGGGCTGTCTTCCAGCCATTAATTGGCTCCCCAAATGCCTGAAGCAGCTGGGGCTGGGCCAGGCCAAAGCCAGGAACCAAGAACTTCATCCACGTTTCCCACTTGGGTGGCAGTGATGCAAAAAATTGGGCTATTATCTGCTTTTTTCCCTGGCGCAGTAGCCTGAAACTGTACCAGAAGCTGTGTAACTTGGATTTGAACCAAAACTCCAATATGGGATGTGGTCTTTGGGGTGGTGGCTTAACCTGCTACACCCACATGCCCATCTCTCTTAATTTTCTAAAAGATTTTATTTATTTATTTGAGAAGTAGACAGTGAGAAGGAGAGACAGAAAGAAAGGTCTTCCTTCCTTTGGTTCACTCCCCAAATGGCCGCAATGGCTGGAGCTGAGCCGATTTGAATCCAGGAGTCAGTAGCCTCCTCCAGGTCTCCCATGCAGGTGCAGGGGTTCAAGGACTTGGGCCATCTTCCACTGCTTTCCCAGGCCATAGCAGAGAGCTGGATCAGAAGTGGAGCAGCCGGGACTAGAACTGGTGCCCATATAGTATGCCGGCATTTCAAGTGGAGGATTAACCTACTGTGCCTTGGCGCCGGCCCCTCATTAATTTTTATATAGTATAAAAAAGAGGTAAAATTTTATTTTCTGACATACGGATAGTCAGTTTTGCCTGGAATTTAACTAGCTGTTTTGTCACAAATTTGTCAGTCCTCATAACCCTCCCCCCTTTTTTTTTAAGATTTTATTTATTTATTTGAGAGGTAGAGTTACAGATAGAGAAGGAGAGACAGAAGAGTCTTCCATATGCTGGTTCACTCCCCAGTTGGCCACAATGGCCAGGAGCTGGATCAATACAAATCCAGGAGCCAGAATCTTCTTCTGGGTCTCCCATGCTGGTGCAAGGCCCAAGCACTTGATTCATCTTCTACTGCTTTTCTAGGCCATAAGCAGAGAGCTGGATCAGAAGAGGAGCAGCTTGGACATGAACTGCAGGTGGAGGTTTAGTCTACTATGCCACAGCACTGGCTTTCATAAGCAGCCTCTTTTTACAGACATTAATATAATTCCATAAACCTGTTTGGGGAGAATGGACATATTTACATTGTTGAGTCTTGCAATCTATAAGCATGTGTGTTTATTATATTGAACATTCTAATTATTGATAGTGATACTTCCTTCTGTTATCCAAAGCCTTATTCAGCTCACTCAGAAAATCTTTACGGTTTTATGCAGAGGTCTTGCATGTTATTTTGATATTTATTTCTAGGCCTTTAATATTTAATGCTAATTTCAATAGAATATTTATGTTCTAATCATATTTTAAAGATACAGAAATATAATTAAATTTGAAGTACTGAATTTCTTTTGTAAATTAGTAATTTTATTTTTTAGAATACTTTTAGTTTTACAGAAAAAAGTAAAAAGTACAGTGTTTCTATATATCACTTTTCCCTGAGCTTCTAAACCCTGCCATTTTTTTCCTAAGGATTTATTTTATTTATTTGAAAGGCAGAGCAGTGGAGAAAGAGGGAGAGACAGAAAGAGAGAGGAATCTTCCATCTGATGGTTTACTCCCCAAATGGCCACAGTGGCCAGGGCTGGGCCAAATCAAAGTCAGGAGCCAGCAGCTTCTTCTGGGTCTCCCATCTGGGAGCAGGGGAACAAGCACTTGGGCCCATCTTCTACTGCTTTCCCAGGCCATGGCAGAGAGCTGGATCAGAAGTAGAGCAGCTGGGACTAGAACTGGCGCCCATATGGGATACCTGTACTTCAGGCTAGGGCTTTAACCCTCTGCGCCACAGCGCTCTCCCCAGTTACTGCCATTTTTAATATCGGGTTGATGTGGTAATTTTGTTAAAATTGTTAGACCAATGTTGACACATTAATATTAACTAAAAATTCACAGTTTATACTAGTGTTTACTCTTTGTGTTGTAAAAATTCATTCTTAAAAATCCTAATAATGGGGCCAGCGCTGTGGCTCACTAGTCTAATCCTCCACCTGCAGCACCGGCACTCTGGGTTCTAGTCCCGGTTGCTCCTCTTCCAGTCCAGCTCTCTGCTGTGGCCCGGGGGAGGCAGTAGAGAATAGCCCAAGTGCTTGGGTCCCTGCACCTGCATGGGAGACTGGGAGGAAGCACCTGGTTCCTGGCTTCAGATCAGTGCAGCGCTGGCCATGGTGGCCATTAGGCAGTGAACCAATGGAAGGAAGACCTTTCTCTCTGTCTCTCTCTCACTGTCTATAACTCTCTCTGTCTCTCTCTCACTGTCTCACTGCCTGGCAAAAAAACAAACAAACAAACAAACAAAAAAATCTAATAATGTATCTGTTGAGATTTTCTAATTTTGGAATACACAAACATACCTGAAAATTATGGTAGTTTTATTTCTTTTAATTCCATACTTATGCCACTAATTGCTCTATTGTATTGGCTAAGAGTACTTAAACTCTGATGAATACAAGTTTTGATAGCTGATGTTTCTATATAATTCGCAATTGGAAAGGAATTTTTTTTTTCTTTATTTTAAGATAAAGTATGGGGCAGCACTGTGGCTCAGCGGGTTAAAGCCCTGGCCTGAAGCACTGGCATTCCATATGGACGCCAGTTCTAATTCTGGCTTCTCCTCTTCCGATCCCACTCTCTGCTATAACCTGGGAAAGCAGTAGAAGATGGCCCAAGTCCTTGGGCCCCTGCACCCACATGGGAGACCTGGAAGAAGCTCCAGGCTCCTGGCTTCAGATTGATGCAGCTCTAGCCTTGGCAACTGTCTGGGGAGTGAACCAGCAGATGGAAGACCTCTCTCTTTGTCTCTACCTCTCTCTGTAACTCTGTCTTTGAAATAAATAAAATATCTTAAAAAAGATTAAGTGTGTAGTTTGTGGTAGAGTTTCTATAAAAGCTGTGTATCAGTCCAGGAGGTTTCTATTTTTTTTTTGTTTCATTAATAGAAGTTTTTTTTTTTAATTCTTGTATAAATGTTATCAAATGATTTTTCTTCATCTGCTGAAAAAATTCTAGTATCTACTAGTGCTGCTTGACTTATGGCCTATTTTATTGATATTAGCAAATTACTTTGAAAGTAACAAATTACTTTGGTTTTTAATTGCTTTTTGGAATAAATACCACTGAACTGCATTGTTCTACCTTTTATATGTTGTCAGATTGTCTTATTCTGTCTATCTTTCCCTCTTGGTTTCTCTGCCTTTCAAATAAATACAGTAAATAGTTTTAAAAAATCATTTGTTGGTTGTTTCCATATCTTGAAAATTTTGAATAATTCTTCAATGAACATAGGAATGTAAAACATTTGCTTGACATTCTTACTTGAATCTTGTATGTATACGTACCTGGTGGTGTTATTTTATTTTATTTTTTTTTTAACTTTTATTTAATGAATATAAATTTCCAAAGTATAGCTTATGGATTACAATGGCTTCCCCTCCCCATAACTTCCCTCCCACCCGCAACCCAAGCTCTGCCGCACCCTCTCCCCTTTCATTCACATCAAGATTCATTTTCAAATATCTTTATATACAGAAGATCAATTTAGCATATATTAAAAAAGCTTTCAACAGTTTGCACCCACATAGAAACACAAAGTGAACAATACTGTTTGAGTACTAGTTATAGCATTAAATCACAATGTACAGCACATTAAGGACAGAGATCCTACATGAGAAGTAAGTGCACAGTGACTCCTGTTGTTGACTTAACAAACTGACACTCTTGTTTATGGCATCAGTAATCACCCTAGGCTCTTGTCATGAGTTGCCAAGGCTATGGAGGCCTTTTGAGTTCGCCGACTCTGATCATATTTAGACAGGGTCATAGTCAAAGTGAAAGTTCTCTCCTCCCTTCAGAGAATAGTATCTCCTTCTTTGATGACCTGTTCTTTCCACTGGGATCTCACTTGTGGAGATCTCTCATTTAGGTCATTTTTTTTTTGCCAGAGTGTCTTGGCTTTCCATGCCTGAAATACTCTCATGGGCTTTTCAGCTGGATCTGAATGACTTAAGGGCTGATTCTGAGGCCAGAGTTCTGTTTAGGACATCTGCTATTCTATGAGTCTGCTGTGTATCCCATGTTGGATCATTCTCTCCCTTTTTTTAT